TTTCCCTGAATGTCTGAAGGACAGACCCCACAAACGTCAGCATCCTTAGATCAGGGGCTGCTGTTTGGAGGAGGGGAGGTGTAGGCTGAGCACAGGCGGGCAGGGTGGGTGTCCACATGCGCACAAAGCCCCTCAGTGCAAACAGAAGCAAGTGGGCGGAGTGGGATGGTTCAAAGGGCAAGGGCCCGGCTCTGCCCGGGCCATCACGGGCCAGTGCAGAACTCTGCAAGGTCACAACCTGAAATCAACCTGGCCTTCCTGGTCCTTCTAAAGGATATTTGTCACAGTAGGAGTGTAGAGCATCTTTTCTTTAACAGTTGATTAGCTGAACGTATAAGTTTTAAATATTTAGATGTACGATGCCTCCCTTTGTACCCTGGCCCTGGACCCTGCACTTTCCGGGGCAGGCCTGGGTTGGGGGCTGGCAGAGTCTGGAGTGACCGTCCCCCCAGGACTGGATGTCCAGGTGCTCCCAGGCCCATCTCAGAGCCACTGAGAGCCGAAGGGGTTCAGGAGGGAACCAACGTCCAACGGGGGCTCATGCCAGCAGGGTGGACAGGCCAAGCCTGCAGGGTGTCGGACGGGGCCAGGGCACCAGGATTCGTGGACCTGGAGAAGTCAGGGGAGCTGTGCCCTGCACAGCCTCCCAGCGAGTGGTTCTAGAAGGAAGAGTGGAGTTCACATCCACCAAGAGACCAAGAGACCAAGGGACAGCACTGCCGGGATGGGCAAGTGTGAGCAAAGGTCAGAGGCAGATGACGAGCAGACAGAATTCCCACAGGAGACTGAAGTAGGTGCCAGGGGCCAGTTCTTGGAGGACCCTAAACACTGGAGGGGGAGAAGCTGACCCGGAGGCCGGTTTTCACTGTCAGTCTGGCCTCTCCCCTCCGTCTGGATGGTAGCTCGATCTTTCTGAAATGCAAGCCCGGCAGCATCCCCCCTTAATCATGAATCTGCAGTGGCCCCCTTGTTTCTGGTCCCCAGCCTGGGCTCTGCAACCTGGTGCCATCATCCAGGCCTCTATCCTCCTGGCTGCCGGCTGCAGCAGAGACCCACCATCTGGTCTCGTCTCTGCAGCCTGTGGGTGCTGGTGCCCCGCAAGGCCAGCGCTTGGTGCTTGCAGGACGTGGGAGAGAGCAGGGGGTGCCTGGGGGGTCCGGCACTTACAGCCCCATCGGGAGCACAGCTCTTGGCTTTGGGCAAAGTCCTCAGACGCATCACCTCCTCTGACCCCTGCAGCCTGACAGCTGGGCCGTGTCCCTCTGGTCCTTGGTTCTGTCATGACCATGAGCGTCTTTGTGCTGATGTGTGGAAACCCTAACCTGCTCAGCCTGCAGGTCCCAAGATGGATTCAGATGGTGGGGTGCATTGCTCAGAGCGCCCCTAGGATCCATGACTGGGCTTCCAGGGCCAGGCACCCTCTGCCTGAAACTGCCCCTCTCCCGGCAGCTCCTGGGGACGGGGTTCATGAGGGTCAGCCCAGTGCAGGGGATGGGCATCTCTGAGCTCCTAACCCCAGCCCCGCCTGCAGGGTCCGCCCAGGGGGTTAAGGAGGGAGAATTGGCTCAGGCTGACCCCCCGGCCTCACCTCCCCTCACTCCAGCCCGTACCCCCTTCCCTGTCTCCTCCCCCGAGTCTGCTCTGCTCTACATCCTTCAGCCACCCTCAGGGCACGCCCAGCCGCCCTCCAGGCAATGCCTCCTGCACACACTTCTCTCCTGTGCCCCAGTGTCCAGATCAAACCGGGACAGGGAGCGAGAGCTCTTTACTAACAC